AAGATTTGGAGTCAGATCTGCATGCCCCTTGGGAGATCAGTAACCTGGGTCTTCTGGAAGTATTGCCAACTACAGGTCAATGAGTTATTTTGGGCACAATGGGGACAGGCTAAGGAGAACTAAGATGTAAGTACTGAACAGAGACTGACCTCTATATACAGCTTACACCCACCCAGGCCCTTCACTAGCATCTTGTGCATTTGGGCACCAGGGATGTCTTGTGTGGCAACAGCTCCCTGTGCCTGTTTCCTACTGGGCTTGACACGATGCTTCCAGAGCCAAGACCGACTGGGCATGGTGTCTGTGGTACTGCCTGCAGCCTGTTGCACAGAAAGCCCCCGGCTTTCATGGAGGAGTGGGCAGGACACACTCCAGTTGCTGTGGAGCATGGTTTGGTCTGGACAGGCAGCCTCGTGGTTCCTGGCTTTAAATCCTCAGCATTTTCTAGTTTGCCTTATTTTTTACAATTGTACTACAAACCTCTTACTGGTTCTATCTGCAAACTGACAGATTTAGCATGTTGTGCAAGATCATGCTAATGAAGTGCTAAGGCTAAGACCTGAACCAAGATTCTGATTTCAGCCCCTTTTGTTTTCATTCCTGCCTCTTTAATCTCAGAAGGGGGAAATATGCAGAGGTAATGAAGCCATCACTGGAGCCCTCTTTCTTCTCCTGGAGTTATGCAATGAGCCAGGCCTGGTGGTCCTTACCCATAATCCCAGCAGGAGGGGGGCCAAGGGAGGACTGTCAAGAGTTCAAGGCCAGCCTGAACCACTTGCATGACGAGATTGTCTCAAAAACTCAAATCAATGCAATGGTCTCATAATAAGAAACATAACAAGGCTGCGGGACAATTGGCTCTGTGATCATTTTTGTATGGGCTGTTGGGAACAGACTTCCTTATACCATTCTCAGGAAAGACAGACTGGGACCAAGCTCTTCATACTGACAACTACTTGACTGCAGGGAACTCTGGATTCCAAGTTGAAGAAGTGCTGCTCCTGTCTCAAAAGGATGTCACGAGAAGTGGTCATCTTGTCCTGGCAGCAGGACTCACCAGATTGGAAAGGCCTCCTGAATCTCTAACCCTAACCCCAAAGCCCAGGCAGATGGAGAAAGCCACATACGGAGCAGCCATCAGAGAGCACCTCTGAAGGGAGCACCTTGATTTGTGTGCAGAAATGACCTTTTGCCTTTGCAGGTGACCTAAGCACTTCTCAGGGCCCCTGCAGCAACTGCAGAGTAAGCTGATTGGAGAACAGGATGCCACAACTCTGTTGGCCATGTGAGAAAGCAGTGCCAGGGCCAGGCCGGCCACGGAATCGGCTGATGCAAATTACCATCCCTAGTCACTGTTGCTGTTCTTTTCCCTTCTACACCACCTGGTACTGAGGACACAACAGATGGTAGGCTGCCATAGAACCAAGGTGGGACTGCTTTTGTCTCCTTTACCAGCTGTGGTCACAATCATGTACTAAGATGTGGCTCTTGCTGAGCCTGCAAAAGGTGTACCCTAAGGCTAGGTGGTGGCGTCTCCCTTGGAGGGCAAGACTTCTCCCCAGTCACACACCTGCCATTCTCAGAGGTGGATGGTCTTGGGAAAGGCCTTTAGGGGCAGCAGTAGTAAAGGTGGCTCCATGGACACAGTGGCGCAAATCTGTAATCCCGACTACTTGAGAGGCTGACAGGATCACCAGCCTGGGCAACCTTAGCATGACTCTGTCTCAAACAAAATGGGGATAGTGGAGTAGCTCAGTGCAAAGTGCCTAGGTTCATTCTCCAGTACTGGAAAGCAGCAGGGGTAGGGTGGCAGCTTCTGCAAGGCAGGCCAGGGGCAGAAAAGAAGGATCAGACAAGGACTTCTTACAGAGTTCCCAGTGAGAACCAAAACAAAGTAGTGTCCCACTTAGTTAAAGCTGGCTCTGGAACTTCAGCTTGGGTTGATTCATTCAACTTCCTCCCTCCCTTTAGTCACTGTGTATGACAGTCTTAATACTGTCCTAAGTTCAGGGTCATAGCCAGACTGGTGGCATGCCTAGATAGGAGCCCAGAGAAAGGAAGAAGCTGAGATCCAACATGAGACTAGAGTGCGCCTTAAGGAGGGTGACGCTGCAGACCACCTCTGTATCCCATTCTCAAAGATGGCCTCAAATGAAGGCAGGTCATGGTAGGGATCCAGATGCTTTCTCACTGCTTCCAGGATACAGAGAAAGCAGGGACTTTGCAATAAACAGCCACCCATCCAGATGACAGGGTTACCGTATCTGGCATGACAATCATGGGACCTTGTGGCTTATCCCCTGTGCCTCCAGGAAAACTTGTTGGGTAAAGCTCTCACCCTAGCACAAAGCATCCTTAACCCAAGGTTCTGAAAGGGCAGCACTTTGCCCACACTTTGGGTCAGCATGCCCTGAGAACTCGCTAGCATGTGAGACTCCGTAACTCAGTCCAGGCCCACAGGCAGCAGCACAGCAGACGCCTTGGCAGCCCGAGTGAAGGTTATGCACGTGGATCCCAATCCACACTCAAGTTTGGATCAAGGACTGGCTTCCCCGCAAACTGAGGATCACGAGGCCAGTCTGTTTTCCTCCACCAGAGGCACACTTCAGTGAGGAGCTGGGTGCCCCAACTCACGGTACAGACTTTTTCAGCTCACTAGATATGGGGAATCTTCAAACAGTGGTTGCAAAGGGTTTGCACGTGGGTGTGCTCAAGAACTGTCCTTGGAGCGTGGTGTTCACAGAACCTTCTACCCTTGGGGGATGCCTAACTGATACCGACAGTCTTGAGCTTACTAAGCAAGATTCCACCCTCCTCTTTTAGGACCTTTTCTGGAGAACTTCACACATGGTTCTTCACTTGGAGGCAGACAGTGGGTCTGGCACACTCAATTTTGTGTCCCCAAAGTATCATGCAGAGGGGTTTGGTGAGGAAGGCCTGGGTCACAGATTTTAATGGCTGACCAAAACGAGGTGAGGCTGAATTCTCAAGTTCCTCAAAGGATGCATGATGAAACTGGCTATATGAATGCAGAAAATGGGACCAGAATCCAGAAATGGTATTTCATTTATTTATTTCCTTCAATTTCTCAAAACTCCCTCCCCTCATTTTTCCAAAATAACACACAGAGAGATGTTTGTACAAAAACCACTTATTACTCCCCCCTCCCCCCGCCGGCCATTGGGTGGCTGTATTACAGGAATGAAACCAGATTAAAGACACACACAAAAAGAAAATGTATCACCTATTCTGAAAAGTAACAGTATTGAATTCAGGTATTTTGTAGATTACCAGCATAGTAAAAATAGTTCCACCTGGATCTTTTAAATTTGAAAGTGATCACATTAAAGACCTGAGGTTACAAGGGACCACAGTAAGAACCAGAATTCCATTTTCTTTCTAGGACTCCAGGGGAAAAGATAAGTATTTGGAATGAATTTCCTTTGGGAAAGACTGGAGGGAGTAGGGAAAACCCTGGCCATTGGTGAAAGGCACTGGGGTCTTTCTGGAAGCAAATACATGGGAAGCAAGCTTATTTCCATTTCCACCCCAAGAATCCAGAACAAACATGCCAAAGGAACAAGGTCTCCTTGGTTCCAATATTCCAGTACTCTAATGCTGACCAGGGCCACCTGGTTATTGACAAACCTGAGGGTTTGAAGGCAAATCTCAATTGTGGTTTTAATTTTTGCTTTCTGATATTAAGGGAAAAAGTTTTAAGGTATTTTATAAACACCTCCCTACACCCTCTCATATGTAAAGCTTTAGAAAATATATAAAAAAAGATATCCAAAAGAAGTTCTACCTTGCATTCTAAATAATAAAACTGCCACTTGAAATGTGAAGTGAAGAGGCAAGGAGCTCTGGAAACCACACTCTGCCGAGAACACTCTCGCTATTCAGAGGACAGGAGGGAGCCGGAAGAAGGATAAGACACACAATCAGGGCTCTCGAGTCACTCATCAGCAGGGGTAGATATGGGCTCAATTAAGGCATTTCTGTGACTCTCCCTCTAGAATGGCACCCCACCCTCCCAGCCCAAGTACCCCACACCCTAAAGCATCGTGCCCTGGAACCGAGTGAAGTCCCTGTACCCTCAGCGCCTCCCCGACACCCTCTGACAGATGGAATGTGCAGCTGCAGAAAGGCACGGGGGAGGCATGAGGCCGCTGGCCCTGCCTCCCTTTTCTAATCCCATCCTGAACCTGAAGTACCGCTTCATGAATTCACCCACCCTGGCTACTGCAAGAGGTAGTTTGGGGACTTGACCCCCACACATCCTAACCAAGTTCCATGAGCTACAATGTTTAATGCTACTTTTTTAAAAAAAATTTTAAACATTTTTAAATTTTTTTAAAGGGACAAAAAAAAAGCAGGCATGCAGAGCAGGCTAGACTGATGGGGATCTCCTTAAACTTTCCTGGCCTGTCTAGGGAACCTAGGAATGCCTCCCCAAATCCAAACCTCAGAAAAACACCACACCCACCCCAACCCAGCAAACCATCTGCATAGAAACCCAGAGCCGGTGGGCCTGGGGAAGGAGTGGCGTCTTCTCGTGTTTGTGCTCTCCTCTACCATGTACTAGGTAAAACGGCACGTTCAGCCAGGCTGGGCGGAGGCCTCACGGGAAGCACCAATCGCTGGGTGCCCCCACTTCCACCTCTTCATTCTGGTGCACTGATGAGTGGCCAAAGTCTCAGGAAACTTCACCAGCAGCACCATTCTTAGCTCAGATAAGCAGAAATAAGGTCACTTATAATGCCTTAAGGTGTGTCCCCTGTGGCTGTAATCTTCTGACCATCACCATTTTTTTGGTTCCTATTAACTTAGGAGGCTCTCCTTTAAAATCATAATATAAAAAAGGATGAAAATTATAGAGGATTATCCATAGAAGCATAAAACTAAGCAAACAAAACAACCCCCCCCAAAAAAAACCCAAAAAACAAAAAACCAGCAGGAGAGCAAAACTTCACACAAATGTAGGCTCTCCTTTAAAATCATAATATAAAAAAGGATGAAAATTATAGAGGATTATCCATAGAAGCATAAAACTAAGCAAACAAAACAACCCCCCCCAAAAAAAAACCCCAAAAAACAAAAAACCAGCAGGAGAGCAAAACTTCACACAAATACTAATGCTGACAGAACCTGCCAGTAAATGGCCAACACCTCACACTGGGACGGGAGAAATGCAGGCTGGTTTGAGGACAATCACCCCACACTGTCATCACAGGCTTCCCACTGAGCTCAGGATGTGTCAGAGCACAGAAAGGGGGTCAAGAGGAGTGGGGAGACACAGGTGTGCGTGTGGAGCTGTGAAAATAAAATCCTGCAAGAAACTCAAGGAGGCCGAGGAACTCATGGTCTTGTGTCCCCGCTCCAGCTGTGGCGGTGGGCGTGGAGGTGTCCTGTCTCTTCAGGCTAAGGAGTGGCTGAGGCCGGTGGGCCTGGAGCAGGCGGAGGAGGCACACCATCCGCAGGTGGTGGCGGCGGTGGCTGCGGCTGCTGCTGCGGTGGAGGGGGATCTGCAACACACACAAAGAGGCCGTCACCGCTGGACACAGGCTGGGAGGAGGGGGGCAGTGAGAAACAGCGTGGCAAGTACTTTTTCCCTGGAGCAGACCAGTCCTGGGCTGCCGCCACTGGGGCCCGAGTGGTCAGGTGCAGACTCTCACCCATGCCACAGGGACATGGACGGTGCTGGCAAATGCTCACTCTTTCAAGGCCCATTCCTTCTAAGAAACACTCCACACTCTTGCGCAACTCCGTGGTATTTTGGCTAATTTAAGAGTTCCCTTTACAGAAGCTTAAAGTTTCATTTATTTGTTTTGTGGAACTGGGGACTGACCCCTGGGCATTTACACTGAGCTATATTCCCAGTCATTCTGGGATGGGAGTGCAATGTCCTGAGTTCAATCCCCAGTACCTACCTACCTAACTAGCTAAATAAGAAAGAGAAATTTCAGAGCCAGGTGTGCTGGTGTACACCTGCAATCTCTCTCAAAAACCAAAATGAGGGCCAGGGACTTAGCTCAGTAGTTCTGCCACCTTCCTTGAAAGCACAAGGTCCCGGGTTAGATCCTCAGTACCAAAAAAAGAAAAACAATAGCAACAAAAAAACCCCCACCAAAATGAAACAAAAAATTCTCGTTTTGTACATAGGGTCTTGTTCAGTCCTTATATACCTCAGGCTGAACTCAGACTTGTGACTCTCCTGCCTCAGCCCCCCCACAGCCTCTCTAGGGCAAACAGAGACATGTGCTACCATACTCAGCGCCCTTTTACTAATTTTATTTCTTCAGTTAAATAAGCAGCTCCTTCCTGGCCAAATACTGTATCTTGTTTTTCTTTTTCTCACTGTCTTGACTCACTGGGCACAAAACATTATCAGTTAACTTCTTGATGCTTAATTCTTTCCACCAGGGCCACAGAACTTCAATGCAGCAGCTGCTGACAAGGTGGGGAGGCCGGGGAGGCCCTCACAGCTCCTGAACTGCAGTTCTTGGTTTCTGGCCAAAAGTAGGTCAGGTCCTGATGGGAACAATTAATATGAGTGTCTGGGGCCTGTTCCTTTTTCAACGTTAGCTGCTTTTGTGCACAAAGGAAGCCTAGCAATTATTTAATCCAGGGCTAAAAAAAATCTCTAGATCTTGCCAGAAATGAAAACATATGAAACAAAGTACAGGTTTGCTTACAGTCAGTTCAGCCAGCCCTAATCCCAAAAGGTTTCCACCCAAGTCCCAAGCTCTAACAGCATCTGAAGCCAGTGAGTCTGAGGCCAGTGAGAACACCCGTTCTTTTGGTGATGGAAACCAGGCCTGAAGAGGTGGAGCCACTTGTCCAGTATGGCCTGCCCAGAACCCAAGAGTCAGGCCAGCAGCTCGGAATTCCTCGAGCAGACACACACCAAATTGTTCTGAGAACCTCAGAATCTCCCACAGCACAGGGTGCTCCAGCGGGGACCCTTAAGGACAGAGTCCTGAAGTCACAACACAGAAGCCAGCAGGACACAACAGTGATACAAACCAACAGCATTATCACTGCATCACAGATGGCATGGGCCAACTGTGCTGGAAGCCAGTTCATCTGTGCACTGCCTGTAAGGTGGCTTGGGAAGCACTTTTTTCTGTACTCACAATACTGTAACCTCTGACCACAACACTCCAGAGAGAACACTTTTCCCATACTCCCAGCCAAACCATGTCTTTCTTCTGTGCACTACTGTTCCAGCCCCTGGGGATCCAAGGTGAACAAGGAAAGTCTGTCTGGGTAGCCTGTCTCCTTGGCCTAGGAAGTATGCACTCAAGGAACTGTGTAATCATCTTGTAACTTTTAGTAAATCCTATCCAACCGTTCATTTCTTTTTTCCCAAAGTTCCTGAAGGCCAGGGATTCTTACGTTTCTTATTCTTCTCACCACATGTATCAATTTCCAAATGAACCAAGGATTAGCAGCACGGCTCGGGACATGATCGGCTCTGGAAGCACTATGGGGTTGCTTCCTACTGAGCAGGTCTACAGGAGGAAAGGGCAGGCCACAGCCTCCAGAGCAGCCCTTGGGTGGCAGGAGGAGAGCAAGGGCTTGTGAGAGATGTGACCTGGCCTCCATATCCAGCCCCAGGCAGAAGCTGCTCTGCAGGACCTCTCAGTTCTTCCTACAGCTGGGGATCCTCCTCGCAGTCTATGCTGCCACCACCAATTCATTAAGAACAGCTATAAGAAATGTGTTACTCCAAAAAGCCCCTGCAGGGAAAATAACCATTAGAAACACTGCATGTGCTGAGACTCAGCCCTCCTGGCCTCCCTGCAGACTCTGCTCAGAGCAGTGTGCCTGCCGTCACCTGTTCACCTGCCCCCTGGAACCAGAGCAGTGGCCTAAACTGATCTTCTGGAACCCAATGTCCGAGCTAACGCTGTCCACAGAGAGAACAAAGCCCTTGGCCCTTACCGACAGACCACAGGGAAACGTGTCTCCCCCGTGCTACTTACACATGCCGTTAGGCGCTGTGAGGGGCCCTCGGGGTCCTAAGATGCTCCCCGGCATTGGAGGCATACCAGGAGGGGCGGCACCGCTCCCCGCAGGGTGGATGCTGGCTGCGACAGTGGGCATCATGCGGCCTGGCATCATGGAGCCGGGACCTGGCATCTGACCTGTGGACAGGGAGGGCAAAGGTACTATGAATGCACCAGGCAGGGAAAGAAGGAAGGGTCAATTCACTCTTCACCGTGGCTGCTTCCCTACAATAGTTATCAAATATGAACAAAAAAAATCTGTACTCATTCCTGTGATTTGCTATTTACTAATTTATTTAGGGGGCAGTTATGTGGGAAAGAGTATCTGATTATTTTACACTCTGGCAGAGGCAGATAGCTGTTAAGCATTTACAAGCTGTGAACTGTAGTAGATGCTTATAATCCCAGGATTTGGACGGCTGAGGCAGGAAAGATCTTGCGTTTGAGGCCAGCCATGGCAACTTAGTAAGAATCTGTCAGAAAGAACGAAAGTTAGATTAACCAATTACAAGTAAAGCATCTCTAAAAGGAAACATTCACTCTGGTTTGGGTGAGCAGTGCATTGCCAGTATCTTCCTGGGCATGCACAGACCAAAACAGAAAAGCGCATTTTCCAGGAAGCCAGAGCACAGGCCAGGGACAAGTGCTCAGTACAGACTGGGTTGGTCTGCAAGGACAGTGACATCACGATCAAAAGAGGGCTCTGCCAGGCATGCTGGCACACAGCTGGAGTCCCAGCCAACTAGGAGGCTGAGGCAGAAGGGCCAAAGTGAGAGCCATCTCTGATAACTTAGTGAGACCCTGTCTCAAAATAATAGGTCTGTAGCTCAGTGGCAGAGCACTCTGGGTCCCATCCCAGAACTGATGAAGACAATGACAACAAAATGAAAGAGCACAGAGAGGAGAAAGTGATGTGAAGAGGACAGAGAGAGGTGGCTGTGAGTCCAGGATGCTCTGCACCCCAGGCGGGAAAGGGGTACAGAGCATGCTACCATGGGTCCCTGCCAGGGGCACCACCTGGCTGGGTGCTGAGCCTGTGAGAACGCACTGGGATTGCTGGAAGTCACCATGTCTGTGGTGATTTATCACAACCTCTGGAAAAATCCACTGTGGCTCAGGCACTTTATGAAAGAGTGCTACAAATTAAAACTCGCCCAATCCCCAGGGAGGAAGGGGCACACGGCGAAGTTTGGGCAATATAGACAGCCAGCAACACACAGCTTGGAAGCGGGGTCCAGATCTGAATGGGGATCTGTTATGTGCCTGGCTTCTGGGGGAAACAAGTCTCTAAGGGGCCACTCAGAGCTCCTCTCCGAGCAAAGAGCCACTCCAGACACATCTGCGGCAGAGCCACAGGGCAGGCAACACACACTGGGCAGCAGTGACTGTCCATCCTGCAACGGGATGAGCCCCAGACGCTTGCTCTCCCGGCAGGCGGTGCTATTCCTCAAGCTATCTGCTCAGGGCTACTGGCCCACTTACCTATTTCCCTACATCTTGATGGCAGGAGCTGGATAGGGCAGCTTCAGGCTTACTCAAGGGTGTCAGACCAACAGCTAATAAAACTTTTCCTTTCACTTTCTGTAAATTCTGAAGTCTTTCTGAAATGAAGGTTCTATACCCTATGGTTACAGACAAGGTCATAAAAACCACGGAGGGGCCAGGGATGTAGCTCAGTGGTACCACACCTACCTCTCACAAGCGCAAGGTCCTGTGTTTGATCCTTGGTACCGCAAAATTAAAAACGAAACAAACAAAAAATACCACTGAGAAATGGGAAGAGAGGCTGAGGCAGGAGGACTCTGCAAGATCAAGCACTACCCAGGCAACTGATCACTTAGCGAGACACTGTTAAAAACTAAAAGCGTGGGCCAGGGATTTAGTTTAGTGGCACCGCGCCTGCCTCACAAGCACAAAGTCCTAAGTTTGATTCCCAGTACCAAAAACAAAACAAAACACATGTGTGTGTAAAAATAAAGGGCTGGGAATGTAACTCAAAAGTCACTGAGATACTGGCTTGAAGGGTACAAGACAAAGGCTCTCAGAAGAGATGGCAGCAAAAAGGCAGGGCTTGAGGACAAACATCCGCTTCTGCTTCTGGGACCAGCCGGAGACAGACACCCACCGCAGAGCGGGCTGGGTGCACTCCAGCACTGAGGGCCGCGACTGTGCCACTTTGGGACACGGTTCTGGAGAGCAGTCAGGAAGGAGGAAGGGTCTGCTGTCTGCCAGGCAGTGTGACAGTGATCTCCTGACAGCCCAGGAGAAAGATGACAGGAAAGGTTCAGAGCCGAGATGAGGAAGCTCTGCCCCACAGAGGCTCTGGGATTTGGCTCAAAGTTGCCAAGAAGAAGAGATGGAGCTGACATTCAAACTCAGAGCTGTCTGGACCCAGGCTGATTCTCTACCCCAGACTACTTTAAAGGAAGATTTTTTTCCTTTGGAAAAGGTGATTTTTAAGGACCTAATGTGAAACAAAGTAGATTTAAGAGGACTGGGGAGAAGAGGAAATCAATTTCTTGTAGCACAAGCCCTGCCCACCTGCAACCTAAAGCTTATGTTCTGTGGTGCTGCTGCTCAGCTATTCCCAACGGTGGACAAATGACACTGGCTGAAAGTGCCCCACTAACACTTACTATCAGGAAGCAGCAAGGGCCCACAAGAACCTCAGATGCCACAGAGGAGGCCTCACCAAGCAAAAGAAAGGGAGTGCTGTATTTTCCATTTAAGAAACTATTCAGGTATTTCCTTCCTTAGTAGATAGGGAGAGGAGCGGGGTGAGAGAAATGTGGCTTTAAAATAGCAGCACCAAAGCCTAGGACGGTGGGAATCTGTCCTACATACAAGTCTTTTTTCCTTCCTTCCAAAACAGCCGGCACCTGAAGCTTGAGACATGAAAAGATCTGCTAAAATTAGGTTTAAGTTTAGCTAGTAGACAAATCCTTCCATGTTCCCTTAATTAGATCTCTTACTAAAAAGCTTTACCACCCACCCTATGTAATGGAATATTAAGGATTTTATTATTTTTCTTTGGGATGGCAGAGGAGGGTGAGATAACAATTAGGACAGCAGAGGAAACCTGCGCCTAGCCGATCTGGGCCACAATTCATCAAACCACTGTACTTGTCCACATGTCCACACCACAGGCCCTGGCTGCATCCCGGGAGAATGGCAGTAACAATTAGGCTAGACGAGGGGACACTCGGGCTGCGCGGGCCCTGCCTGCCCAGATGCTCTTGGTGGCAGCCTCTACCACGTGAAGCAAGCAGGACCAGAAGAAACAAAGGCCTCACAGACAGGGACACAGGGCTGGTGTGATGAGCTACTCCTCCCCTGTCACTTCAGGCTGAGTCCAGGGAATGCCCTGGGAAGCAACGAGTGGCTGGAATCTGTTCTTTCCTCAGTACGATCTCCCATCAGCAGGACTGTGCCAATAGCTTTAAATGAAAGGCTTAAAAAGCCACTCCCGAGCTGAGAACAGTGGCCTGTTCAAATTCAGGACCCTGCACTTGCCAGACAGGCACAGCACTACTAAGCTACATCCCTGGCCCACCCCCTATTTGAGACTCTGTCAGTCTCATGAGGTGGCCCAAGCTTGCTTTGAACTCACTATGTAGCCTTGGTTGGGCTCAAATTCATGGCATTTATCCTGCCTCAGCTTCCCCAGTGCTAGGATTGCAGAGGTTTGCCATTATATCTGGCCCCGAAACTTTTTTTTTTTGTTTTTTGGTACAGGGGTAGTCAAACTCGGGTCCGTACACTTGCAAGGCAGGCGGAGGAACCACTGAACTAAATCCCCAGCCCATGCCCCTGACTCTTATTAATACATTATGCTGAAGATTGAAAAATTTTTAAATTTTTGCATGAAATTCATGTATGTTACCTAGAAAAATTGAAGGAACACAAATTTGGAGAACACATTTCATTATGTCCCAGTGCTATAGGTGTTCCAAAAGTGAGTCACTAGCCACTGAAGGGTTAAATCTTATTTAACCCAGTACTTTACTGACATAAAATTTTCTAGTTTTATCAATGAAATAACACCATATTTGAATTTCCATCAAATTGGCCCAATTCAAATTCTAATTTTCTAAATATTTCTAAAAATTCCTACACTATCAATGCAGAGGAATATGATTTTTTTTTTCTTTCCTGTTTTGAGACAGAATCTCACTAAGATACCTAGGCTGGGCTTGAATTTGCTGTTCCGCCTCAGCCTCCCAGAGTAGAGTGCTGGATCACAGCCGCACACCTCCGTGTATGGCTTATTTCCTTTTGGCTCAAGTCAATGGCAGGTAACCTTCCTCCGACCACGTGCCAGGGCCCCGGAGTCCAGGTCATCTCACCTATGTGGAGACACTCAGTAGTCAGAGGTGCCCTTTCTGCTCCACAAGAAGCACGGCACAGGGCACCTCAAACGACAGAGTCACACCCAGGCTGGTCTCCTCGTGGCCATCTGTGTGTTGTGGACACACACTGTGCACAAGAAGTGGTCACTCACTACCATGACTGAGGATGTCACAGGGAGGAGGAGGAGGCCTTGGGGAGTCTCTTGATACTATGAAACAGGACAAAGTGTGGCACTGTGTATTTTATCAGATTCTGTCTAAAAATGGATGTGCCAAGTGCACAGCAGAAAAACTCTACAAGTGCAATTCTATAGCCTTTTTGTTTGGTAGAAGCAACTAATTTGGGACATTGCACTAGAGACATGAATAAAACTACAAAAACTGGAGTTCCCAGGTGAAGTTAGGAGTAAGATCAAAAATTAAGCCAAGACAGTAAGCTGGAGGCTGGCAGACAGGAGCCTGCGCACAGGCTGTACTACCTGACAGGGTCATGGTAGGGAGCTGGGAAGCAACAGGAAAAGCTGCAGTGTGAAACTCACACGATGAAGTATTTGCCCGGGCTCATCCACGTTTGATAGCCTAATACATTCACAACATGCTCTATCAACAACCCATAGTTTTGAAAATGATACACTCAGAAAAGGGCTGGGGATTGAGCGCAGTGGTTCCACCGCCTGCCTCACAAGTGAAAAGACCCAAGTTCGATCCCTGGTACCAAGAAACCCCCAAAACAAACAAAAAACCCCAAACAAATAAAACTCAGAAAAGCCAGTGGGTATGGTGGCACCA